TCTTCCTCCATTACCTTCTTCTTTTTTTAAAAATATATTTTATTGATTTTTTACAGAGAAGAAGGGAGAGGGATAGAGAGCCAGAAACATCGATGAGAGAGATCGATCAGCAGCCTCCTGCACGCCCCCCAGTGAGGATGTGCCCGAAACCAAGGTACATGCCCTTGACCGGAATTGAACCTGGGACCCCTGAGTCCACAGGCCAACGCTCTATCCACTGAGCCAAACCGGTTCGGCCCCTTACCTTCTTCTTTGTTGAGGTAAAAGATACATAAAATTGACCATTTTAACAGCTTTTAAGTGTACAGTTCAGTGATACCAAGCACATTTACATTGTGCAACCCTCACCACCCATCCATCTCCAGAACTTTCATTTTCCCAAACTGAAACTCTCTACCCAATAAACACTAACTCCCCACCCCCTACCCAGCCCCTGGCAACCCCATTCTGCTTTCTGTCTCTTATGAATTTGGCTACTCCAGCTACCTCATATAGGTGGAATATTTGTTTTCTGCAATTGACTCATTTCACTTAGCATACTGTCTTCAAGGTTCATCCATGCTGTAGTGTGTGTGAGAATTTCATTTATTTTTAAGGTTGAATAATATTCCATTGTATGTGTAGACAATATTTTGTTTAGTCATTTATGTCAGTAAATGCTTGGGTTGTTTCTACCTTTTAGCTATCCACACCCTTCTCCTAATCATCTTGACCTGCAAATGACACGTCATTTCTGATCACACTCTGTAGGAGAAGTTACTGCATGACCCCACCTACATGCAAGAGGAGCCAGGAGATGGAATCCTGTCTGGACAGCCACTTCAGCCCATGGAAAGTGAAGCACAATTTGTTGGTGGACAACTAGCTCTCCCTGCCACCACCCACCTTTGAATTTCCTGTAACAGTTATTTCCGTGCATGGCCCAGGAACAATGTCTTTGCCCAGTTTCAGTTCCTAACAGGACAAAGGTTTTCAGATTTAAATGAACTATCAGTAAATGGCTATACCTAACATTTGTGTGCTCTCTGGCAGTTTTCCATGTCCTTTTCACTCAGAGTAGTGGTTCAAGTTCTGATTCTGTCCCTGTGGCTTTCTCTCTGGGTGGTGTTTGTCGAGCCCTTAGAGCTCCAATAAATTCAGTAAGCAGTAATTATTAATCTTCACAGCAACACAAGGTCTGCATATTTTCTCGTTTGTATAGATGAGGATATTGAACCTCAGAAAGATGAATTAACTTGTTCAAAGTTACCCTGATCATAAATGGTGACTCCATCTCTGTGTCTACTCCCCTCTCCTAGGGAGCTATCATCACGGTTTTGAAAAGGAACTTTGATGCCCTTCAAAAGACGCTTTGAGCCCCCAACCAAACTCTGCCCCTTGAATGTCCTCCTTGTACGAGAACTGGGGGGCTGTCTTCTCCAGGGACCAAGCTGAGTCCCACTGGAGAATGTGGTAAGGGAGGGAGAAGAGGTCCTGTCATTCAGGAGCTTGTTCTGTGCTCCTGGCCACAAGGAACTTCCCAGGACCCTTGGCAAAACAAAGCAAAGAAAAGCAAAGCAAAGCAAAGCAAAACAAAACAAAACAAAACAAAACAAAACAAAACAAAAAACACCTTTGCTGTTGCTGCCACTGTCCAACAATGTTCACAGAGCCCTCCTTTGTTCCAGGCCCTGGGGATGTAAGTAAGAATAAGAAATGACCCCTCCCCTCCATAGAGTGCATCATCCAACCAGTGAGACATGTGAACAAATACTCTCATATCATGTGACAGGCAATATAGAGTGATGTACAAAGTGCTATGGGAATCCAAATGGAGTAATTAATTTTGCCTGACATGTTTTGGCAAGCTACAACAAGAAGGTGACATCTGAGCTGGGTGTAGACAGCTAAGAGAGGATTGGGGGAGAGCTATTTTAGATAGAAGAAACAACAACGTCTCAAAGGTATCAAAGAGTATGGTTGTCTGAGGATAAAGAGTAGGTACAGTGGGGGCAGTGTGTGGGTGGATATAGGGTGGGGAAGAGATGAGGTGGGGCCAGAGGTAAAGGGTCATGATTCTGCAGATGAGGTAGGAGACTTCCCCCCCCCTTTTTTAAAAAAATTATTTTTAAAATTATAACTAACAGACAATATTATATTATTTTCTGGTATACAGCATAGTGATTAGACACTTATATATGTTAGAAGGTGAATTTGACATTATATATGTAATTAATGATATATAAAAGTGATTAGACATTTACATCTTATATAATAAAAGGTTTATATGCAAATCGACCAAATGGCAGAATGACCAGTCACTATGATGAACACTTACCACCAGGGGACAGATGCTAAACACAGGAGCTGCCCCCTGGTGGTCAGTGTGCTCCCTTAGGGGGAGCACCACTCATCCAGAAGTGTAGAGCTGGACTCACAGTTGGTGAGTCCAGTGGCGGTAGCGGGAGCCTCTCCCACCTCCGCAGCAGCACTAAGGATGTCCGACTGCATGGAGTGGGCCTAAGCTGTCAGTCGGACATCCCCCGAGGGCTCCTGGAATGCGAGAGGGCACAGGCCCAGCTAACAGACCCCCCTGAGTGCATGAATTTCATGGACGGGGCCTTTAGTATATTATAAAGAGATAAGGAGATTATTCATTGGGGGCTAATACAACCAGAACCATCTAACACAAAGCTTCCTCTGGCTGGGGTAGACAAAGGGAAACTAAACTGATAAGTCCACTTTATTTTAGCCCCACTCATTCCTATAGGGCAGAACCATCCCCGCCATCTGGGGGTCATTACTGATGCCACATAACTCTAGGCAAAGAGACCACCTGAAGACATCTGTATTCCTGCAACGACACTTTCCCCTTTGTAGGTGTTGAGGGACTTGTGATAGACTTTTCTCTTTTTAGCATATAGGGTTCCAGACTAAGCTGAACCCCAAAGTTTGGAAGCCAGGGTCTCTGTCTGACACCTTCAAAGACAGAATTGAAGCGCGCGCGCGTGTGTATGTGTGTGTGTGTGTGTGTGTGTGTGTGTGTGTGTGTGGCAGGACCACACCCCTCTTCCCCTGGAAACTTGGGTCCACCCCACATGGACAAGGGCAGGCCTGGATTTGAAGCTAACTCCTCACCTCTGTGTGACTTCAGGAGACATTAATCTCTCTATCAGCTTTGTTATCTGAAAAACACCTCACAGGGTGGCTGTTTTGATTAAGTAACAGCATTTAAATGTAGATCTCCTTCCCTTGACTCTAGAGACCACTGAATTTACAATATTGTGGTTGATATATTCTCAGGGTCAAGTACCCTGGGCCTTCATGTGCTACACTCTTCAAGCTTTGCCTGCCTGGAGCTCAGGAATATGCAAAGGAGCTTACCTCAAGCTGCTGAAAGTTCTTCTTTGGTACTTTTCCTCCAGTCCCCTTGATTTAATGGCATTTCAACCAGAAAAAGTCTGGCAAAGGTCAAAA